ACCAAGGTAAGCCATGTTACCGTTTTAGGCTACCTAGCGCCACTTGTTTTGATGTACGTTTTTGTTGATAACGTTGCGAGTTTGTATCTTTCAGTGTTGAGGTGGGCACCGTTAGATTCTGTGTCTTTACGATCATAAACTACGTGTTGGATGTGCAGCTAGGATAAGTAATAAGGGAGCTAGGAGAGATTTTCAGTGCAGTAATAGGTTAGCATTTTTCGCCCGGGGCTAATTCAGAGGCTCACTGTTAGCATTGTGTGTTTTTTGTTTTTTTTAAATGAAAAAGAGCAGTTAAATGAGTTTTTTCCCGTTATATGGATATAAAATATTCATAGTTTATTAAATATTAAGGTTCCTTAGACGTTGTTTCCTATAAATTTGACGCAATTTCGGCCCCGGAACAAGGTCCGTGGGGCCTAAGAGTTAACAGATACTTAGCAAATTAGAGTGATAGTTTGGTTGTTTTAAAGTGGGTTATACTGTGGGTACAATATCAGTTTAGATATACAGTATATTTAAAATATTTCCACCTCTTTACCTTGCTTACATACGGAGAACTGAGTCTTGTATACGCTCTCTACAAAGCGCAACCAGACTCCTTTGAGAAAAACTTAAATTTGACCAACTGCGGAGTTGTCGGTCTGCTGCTGCCCTTGTATTATTTGTGACTTTGGTTAGTTCATATACAAAAAAAACAACGAAAAACAAGCAGATTGAGGCAGCGGTAGGCAAGCAACTTCCATGCTACTATTAGCTAGCTGTTGATGGTGAGTTGCTTGCTTGTTGAACCACAGTGTCTTTTTTTTCTATTCCTACTTTGTAAAATGTTACTTGTAGGTTGAGTCTTTGGATTTGTTGAAAGGCTCTTCTGAAGGAACTCGGCTTGGTAACGAAAATATTGTAATGTGTAATGTTACCAATTATATTTTCAATGAAGAGCGATGTATAATCAATCTTTCATTTAACTTGCCCAACACTGGTCATAACCGCTGTATAAGATTACAATATGTCAGGGGTGTCCCAGCTAGCGGGGAACGTTCTCACAACTTTACCTACAGGTTCTAATAAGGTTTTAAAGAAACGTTTTAATCTGATGTTCAAAGAACCTTTTTAGGATGTTTATTTTTTCAAATAATGTTCCTATAAGGTTTAAGGTTAACTAAGACGTAACTTTTTAACTGCAACATTCAGAGGATGTTTTGAGGATGTTATTGAGGCCTGAGATGACAGAAAGTTTTTTATAAAATGTTCCTTTAATGTGATATGTTAACAAAGGTGGAACGTTTTGCCTCCAACATTCTAAGGATGTGTTTTGGACGTTGTTGGGTAACTAATTAAAGATGTTCTTTATAAAACATTCCATCAATGTTACATGATAACCAAAGAAGAACATTTTGAAAGCAACATTTGGATAATGTTTTCAGGAGGTTATTATTTTTTTATAAAACGTTCCTGTGATGCGAAATATTAATACGGTCATGGTCAATATCAGATTTATTTGTAATTCGCTTTAAAAAACAAATTTGTTGCATTTGTTTGAAAAGGATGTTTAAAAAAATCTGATGTCACCACATTTTCCTTTTTAAAAAAAAAACAAGCATGCAATTCATGATATTGCATGTTTGGGTAGGCATGTCTGAGTTACCAGCTAGACATTGTTGGTTCTAAAAACATCCTGAGAATGTTACCATTCATTGTTCTAGGAATGGTTTCATCGAGAAGTTTTATTTTGGTTCCTAGAATGTACTTCTGAAAGGTAGGATAACGTTCTCTAAAAACATTCTTAAAATGTTTGGTGATAACATTGTTCGAACATTATACCCCAAGTGTTTTTGTTGTTTATGCACATATCTCTATTGTCATAAGGATCGAATAACACTTAGAAAACCAAAGACAGACATATAGAAGAACGGACCGACTGTCACTGCCCATCCCTGAAACCCCTGTTAGTGTTTGTATGTGTTTCTTTCTACTGTGTGTCTCTCTCTCTGCCTGCTGGTCTGCTCTACACGGCTGGGAGCAATCTCCAATCAACCACACCTGCAACCTGCTCATCAGCCACACTATGAAAGCCTACAGCCTGCACTCATTCCCTGCCGGATTGTTGCCGTGAACGGTTTGTTGCATGCCGCTCTAGCTTTTTGCCAGCATATTCTTTGACAACTTTGCCTGCTTTTGCCTCACACTCATTTTTGTGTCTCTCCCAGGAGGAATCCAAGGCCTTTCACACTCCCAAGGCCAGCCAGGCCTCTCCACCCTGGAACAACTGTTTCCCACTGCTGCCATAACCAACCTCCACTCCCAGCTCCCCTTTTCCAATAAACAAATGTTACTTTCACCAGCTGATTCCAAGTCATCCTTTTACATGTGTTAATAGTCAAATTCCAATAGTTAAGTAAACTATCAATATAATCCTAATGACCACAGTGGTCAGTCCAGTTACCCAGGAATTTTGAGTTGAACAATGACAGGAATATTATGTCTTTATGTTCTAATAATGTAAAAATATTTTAGTAAATTGTTACCACAGGACATTTGCATAATGTTTTAAACATAAAGCATGTTATCCTTCTCTAAAATAATAACATTCTGGCAACATAAACAAATCTAACTTGCAGCTGAAAACGTTTTAAGAACAGTAGGGCATAATGTTCTAACAATGTTATCAAAAACATTTTAAGAATGTTTTTAGAGAACGTTATCCTATCTTTCAGAAGAACATTCTGGGAATCAAAATAAAACGTCCCGCTGAAAACGTTTTAAGAATAGTAGGGCACAATGTTCTAACAATTTTATCAAAAACATCTTAAGAAGGTTATCACCAAACATTTTAAGAAGGTTATCACCAAACATTTCAAGAATATTTTTAAAGAACGTTATCCTACCTTTCAGAAGAACATTCTGGGAACCAAACAAAAACTTCCCGCTGAAAACATTCCTAGAACAATGAATGTAACATTCTCAGAATGTTTTTAGAACAAAAAAAGTTCTAGCTGGGGTATGTCTGTCAGCTTGTTTTAGGGTCCTTCTGCCTCCTAGTGACAAAAGAATCAACGTACTGTATGCAACCTTAAACAACAACAAAAAACACCTCCTTCTCTGTGTCTTTCTAGAGACGTGTAGAAAAGTAAAAGCTTTGATGATCTGGCTGTGGGTTGAATCAATATGAGTCATATTACTCAGAGAGTAGTCACATATTCTCTTTGATATGCTGCCAAAGACATACCACACCTTTAACTTATTTTAGTACATCTATGAATTTTGCATTTCTTACTGTAAGTGAATGAATTAACACTCTTCTATTTGGAGGTACTTATGAGCCATGTGTTCTTCTTGCTGCCGGAATGTACAACTGCATATTTGGGGGATACGTCTTTGTTTGTCAGCTCTGATCGTAGGAGAATTAATCCATATATAATAAAAAATGTGTTGACAAAGAGACGCATGGTCTTATTTAGAGAAGACGTGGTCTGGGTTAGGAAGCTCGGGTGAATTTTTGGCAGCAACCGGAAGTCCTCAGGGAAAACGATTTACTTTTGAAAAAAGACTCACAACAGTCAATATTGGATACATTTCTCACAAGCCACATATCTTCTGTACATTCTGACATTAAAATCGCATTTTCTGACTGAAAAACAAAGTGAATGTGCACTTTCTCTACTAATCATCCAGAAACTCTCGCGAAATTTCGATACAACAAGCTAACCACAACTATCATGTGTGACTGCCTACTACTACTACTACTTTTCCTTATGCCAAATATGTATGTTAGCTGTGTTAATATACAGTGTTAGCTAAATAAAGTATTAACTACATTAGAACACACCCACTTGGAAGACAGAAGTGTATACCAGTTCATCCCATTGGTGCCAATTGTAATGCATCATCTTTTGTTATAAAGCCTCTTTGATTGTACCCCAGGAAAGGTAATTGCCATCGAGACTGATGAGAATTATGGGATCCGCCTCTTAGACTAAACCATTAATTGTGAAGGATAATAATTTATTTCACCTTGGCCCAGAAAGGACATCGTTCAAACCAGTAATCCCAGATGTGAATTAAGTTACCCC